AAGCTTATGGAACTATGGCCATAAGTAAAAGCCGTCATCCCGCAGTTTTGGTACATGCGCAACAACTTCACCAGAAGGCTCTGTCTCAGGTGCAGCAAGAGCAGTTAAATCTGCAAGCACCTAAGAAATTCTCTCCAGACATGTTGACTCATTGCCCCTACTGAGCCTGCCCCATCTTCACCTCATTCGCTGGGCTTCAGAGGTTTTATACTGACAATCTAGAAAAAGTTACTTTCTAGCAGAATACATATCTGTGTGAACAAACCAAAAGAAAAGTGTATGTTCTTGCTAGGAAATCAGTCAAAAATAAGGTTTTAGCCAGTGCTTAAACTTGGCAGTTTAGTGTTACAAATTCTTTATAAACACTAATGAATTAAGCCCCAGCAACCCTGTGGGCTAAAGACAAAAAGGCACAGGTTATCCTTCACTTGAAGATACAGAAACAGACACACAGTCATTAAGTGACTCACCAGGTATTTATGACCACAGGAAAAAATTCAAAGGAGAAATTACTCCAGTGGCTTCAGATAGAGCCGCCTTTTTCCTTTCTCTCTTCCCCCTGCTTCCTCAGTTATGTGCTCCTGCCCCCGCCGCCAGGAGAGTCCCCGCAAGCTCTTCTTCCTGGCTTCCACCCAAAGTCCCATAAACACCACTATAGGGCAGGATCTTCTGATGAGGAGGTGCCCTATGCTTCATGGACAGTTTTCCCCTCTCAAGGGGCAGCCATACAGGGCAGGGAGGGGGAAAGAGGCATCCATTAGCAGTGGTGGCTCCTGACCGTGGGTGGAGGACAGAGGTGGGAACCCCAGCTGAGAGCCCACCCTCCTCACTGCCAGGGAGCCCAGCAAGCCTGGGCGCTGCTGTAGCTGGATGCACAGCAGTCACTGCAAGGCAGAAGCAGAAGCCAGGAGGTTTGCCAAGTGAGAAAGTCCAGAAGGCTGCATTCCCCACAGGGCCAGCCAGTGGTGCTCAGGGACAGGGACATGGATAGGGACCACGCTGCTAATGCTGGTATCTGTTTGGCAGCCAGGCTGCCAGCCCCACACCATTTATTAACACTAAGCACAATTGCAAAGGAAAAACATGTGAAAAGGAGCACTTTCTTACGCAAGACGTAAACCACACAGCTAACATACCAGGGCTAGCAGCTAAGTAACGGTGTTACATGCCCTAACCTTTTTGGTTAATCAAATCTGTTTCAAGAAAAGTAGGAGCAAGCTCCCCTGGGGGTGGGAGGGATCCCAAATTACAATGTACTGAGCATCCTTCCCTGCTGGGCTAGCTGAACTGTACAAAAGCATCATCAGGAAAGGCAAAAAGAAATGGTTACATAGTTCAACTGTCCTGTGACCTCAGTGTTTCATCTAGAAAGGTCAGATCTAATCTGATCTTCAAATGCCTTTGAGTCAAATTTCAGCCTTCGCCAGCATGTAGGTAGGTGCCTCGTTTCCAGTTCAGATGCCCCCAAAGCCCATTCTCACCAGGTTGTGGGGCTTTAAATAACCCAGGAGCTACGAACAAAACCAGTAAACTGGCCCCTGCACTTGCACATTTCGGAAGGTGAGAGCTCTGGTAAGGAAGCAGCTTTCTTGTTACAAGCTGCCAGGGGGTAGTTACTAAGAAGAGACAATTTTTAAAGAATGAAAACTTGCTTTGAAGATAGACTCCCACTCTTTGCAGTCACAGGCCTGCCTGCCTCAGGCTTTGTACACCTGGAGCCCAATCCTGCAAACTCCCCATAAAGCTCCTCTCAAAGGCAATGAAGAGTTCTTAGGATTGTGCTTCCCGTGCTGCCCTGTTACCTTTTTTGGTGCTTTCTCTGATACCCAGAAGGGTCCAGACAAGTGCTGCAGATGGACAGCTAATGTTGCTCTCTTGGTCCCTTCTTTCTTATGCATATGTGGTTTCCCATCCCTCTTAGTTCACACGCGGCAATCAAATGTACCAAATTGTACCCCTGGCACACAGGGGTTAACAACTCCACTGATCTTTAATACAAATTATAACTCGGGCTGCCAACAGAATAGGTCTCATTGTAAGCAACCGAGAAATCCAAGTATTTTAAACAGTGCCAGGGCATTCAGATGCTATTTGTCCTGCAGGAAGGAAGAGCTGCAGGCTCTCACTCTTCTGCAATGAAGAGATCACCCCCATAGGCAGGGCCAGTCCAGCTGCACACAGGGAAGGGTGAAATAAGGAGGATTTCCTGATAGACCTTCCCTGTCATCTTTCTCTTCATATGATAGAAGCTACGTCCCAGCAGGCAGCCAGCAAAAAAGGTCTTGCTCTATCTTTCTAGTCTCACCACCTGGAATCAGTAGCACTGTGCCCTAACCCTGCGTGGGTCCAGACAGATGCTGCCCAGCATGCCTCCATGCCACGTGTGGCCTCGTGAATGAAACTTTGAGGAATAAGAATTCTTCCCATCTTAATGCACTTCAATTTTCCCTCTAACGTCAGCCAGAGCTGAACTTACAGACCCCCCCGCCTTTCCTTTCAAATCACCTAGCTTTCAGCATCACTATTACATTGTGTATGAGTGTTGGACAAGAAATAAAAGCACAAGGGAAGTTACCCCTTTCTCAGGCTGCTCCGTGTCAGAATAATGCTGTAAGCGTATGAAGTAGCGATTGTGGAAAATCCCTTCTTCTCCTAATACATGCTTACGTCACTCCCTGTCAAAGTGTACTCAGAGTGCACAGGGCTCCCCTCGCATCAGGATCCTGCATCCGTTAATGATGGTATTGATTTCACCAAGACTAATCCTGTGAATGAAGGAATTGATCCTCTTGTCATTGCATGCTGAGACAAAGAGGAGCTTTCAGGAAATACAAGTTATTTCAATTTAGCCTCTTGTTCACAGGCATCTTATCCGGTGTTTTTCCCTTGCCATCATGATTTAGATATTACATTAACATGTGTGGGTTTTATTGACTAAGATACCTGCCTATCAGAAAGCCTCTGAAAGAAAGGTAGACAAATATGTTGAGAATAGTTCAGACCCACTTTATCTTAAAGGCAATTAAGTTAAGCAAACAACCACTTACTTCCTTGAAGCATCACTCCATCTGTAATTTATGTTAAAACAGCCCACTTCACTGGTTTTGGCTATGTAGTTTTAGGACCCCATCCTGTCTCTCCATGGCAGGAGAAAAAAAAGTATGAAACTTGTTTACAGATGCATACGCTCACACAGAACCTACTGCTACATTTAATGAGACACAGAAAGAATGGATGCAGGGTCCCAGGGTTCCTTGATGGCAAACCATACAAGCACAATCATTCACAGTATGGTACCTAAAATAGACAAATTATAATAAATACAGAGTTCTCACAAAAGAAACACTCTGCCTCCTTATTTTCTTTGAGCTGCTGCCAAGGAGGGACTGTGTTATTTTCACAAATTATTCTCCAATATGCTTTTTAGCAAGAGAAGCCTTTCTCAGCTAGGCAAAATTGCATAAAAGCTGCATACTCTGAAAATAAATACTCCTCTGAAAACAAATACTCCACAAAAAAAAAAAGTCATTTTAAAATAGATATCTTGCCCGTTCTCCCAAACAAGATATGACATATGAGAAAAATCAATTCTATTGCTGCAGGTCTGGCCCGAGGTTACTAGTTTGGTCAATGTCTGCTGCTCCCAAGTATCCATCTGCAGCCGACTTCAGCCCTCCCTCTGTTTTCCCAGCTCTTTCTCTGACAAATTTCCATGCTATGCAGAAGATCGTGCTCTCAGCAGCCAGCCTCGCACAACACTTTCGGACTGTCCGAGCGTATCAAAGGAGCTGGGAAGGAAGGGGAGCCTGCTCTGGGAAGGAAGGGGAGCCTGCTCACCGGCTCTCCCCAGCAGCGCTCCGACTGACACACAGAGCCAGACTTTTCCGAGCTCCGGTCCCACCCAAGCACATTTTTTTCTTTGCCGTCTATTGTCAACAATACTTCTGTGAGAGGCTGCCATGACAGACATCTGCTTTGGGGAGGATCAGATCAGTTATGTTAACCAGGGCTTTACTGTATCTGTATCAGTTACGCTGGGAGACTGCCCTTGCAGTCAGGCTGCCCTGAAAGCCCAGGTATTAAGTTGCAAAATTGAAAGCAATTCACTGGCCATTACCACACTGAAAAGTTTTTCATTGCAATTCCTTTTTTTTTTTTTTTTTTAAAAAAAAAAAAAATTAAAGAAAGGACAGATAGGTTATTTCTCCGCTAACAAGCGCACTGCAGGATCTCACACGGAGCGGGACCGGCACAGATCCTGCCCTGCACCCGAGCCTTGCCCCCACACCTCGGCATTTGGGTCTGCTGGGGTGGGTGAGCATGCACCCCCTCCGCCCACCCGGCACAGATATCCCCCTTAGTTCGCTACAACCATCTGGAAAGACAGGGGGCACGGAGAGAGGAGAGGAGGAAAAACAGTATCTGACGCTTTCGCGCTATTTCCACGGCTCGTTAGATTTTGCATGCTGCTTAATCTCTAGCCGTAATGCAAAAGCAGGCAAACCAGCTCGCTCCCAAACAAATACGTAGCTTAAGCCCTTACCTCTGCGGCTGAAAACTTCTCAACTAGTAGGAAGGAAATGAATAACTGGCTGCTTGGGCAGGAGCACAGCAAGAAAGGCACACCAGCAGCCTCACACACAGCCCTATTCAATAAAACTACAGCTTTTCCTTGGCCCCTCCCAAAAGTCAATGCTAAGTGAATACATATCCCTTATGTTTACAATTGGCAGGCGGCGGTATGCATTGTCCTCAATTTATTCTAATAGGCAGCCAATGACTACGCACAAGCCAAGGTGGGTTCAGCCTGCCTGCAGAGATGCCTGTCATTCCCTAGGCATGCTCAGGAAGCCACTCATCAGAAAACCAAGACCTAAAAAGCTCCGAAAATTCGTGCAAGCTGCCAAAACTGTCTTGCTACATGCCCTTTTTTGGTTATCCTTAGCAGGGCCTCTGAAAGTAAATCCTCTGTCAGGAACAATCATAAGAAATGTTAATCTTGGAGAAAGAGGCTGTCTTGTTGAACACAAATGGAGCTTAAAAAAGGAAATACACTCAATGGAAAGGGACACAGTAAACATATTTACTTTTTGCACCAGCTTAAAAAAAAAATCAAATAAATAATTTCACCACAGCTAGACTTCATTGTATTTTTTTTAATGAGGACCACATGTAAAAGGGAACACAGAAATGCTCCACTGTGCAAGCCTGATTCTGCAGAAAGAGAGACACACCAGTGGGAAAGGCACATGAAAGATGGGTTGGCAGGCTTCACAGCCTGTTTCCATTTCAAATAGTACAACAGAAGTTATATACAGAATATCCATGTTCTGAAAAATAACTTCGAAAGGGATTCAAAATTCTGATGATGATCTTTAGCAAGTTGGACTAGTTGGATAAATGGGTTTAGTTTATAGGCATACAGCTATTTATCTAGATATTAAAATGGGTTCTTTATTATAAGGCTAGCCCTACACCTACATATTATGACCAATACTTTTCACTGTCTTTCAGTACCATAGATAAAGTGATCTTAGATTGATTTTTATCTTTGTTCGTTCTGCTTTAGTGATTGCACACTATTGATAACTTTCCAAAATACGCAGGCAGCTTAAAAAAATGAAAAAAATAGATGCAGGCTGATGCTGGAAACAAATGAGCTGCAAAAATTAATTAAGAAAGTGTGAAAATAAATATGAAAATTATTGCTTAGGAAAACAGTGCAGTACATAGACCCTAACACATGCACGTACCAGTCACTAAGCAAAGCTGCAGAACTACTGACTGCTCTAAGGGGACAGGATTCCAGACCAGGAGATCTTCTGCAGATTCATATTTGACAATATATACAAAACCAGTTAGGGGGAAAATATGTGTAAGATGACTTTGCAGCTGAATGGGCTAAACTATTTTAATGCCTTTCTGGGTCTTTTTTTCTGGTCACTGGGCCCCACGGATTTAATCACATGTGTAATGCAAGAAGGATTCAGCCAACAGACAGTAAACTAGCCTTTATAGCACGAAAAAAATATTCAAAGAGAGCCAAATCTATGCAGATTTACAGCAAGCAATCATAATTATTCTAGTGTCATTTTAAATTTCACAACTTAATTAGGTGAAGGAAAAAAGCAGTGTTTGTTTTTGGAAGGCACCTTTCTTTCTTTACTTTAACACAACTTCATCTAATGCTAGACGTCTCCCGTGATGTGGCTGTGCTGGTTTTAAATATTAAAATTAATACATACAGCACATATATAACTTCGGGGTTTAGGATTTACTAAACAAGGGAGAACAAAATCCGTGTTCTCAGTCATTCCATTAACTATAGAAATTATTAGTCAATGAATCAATGACCAAATAAAAAGAGGTAGTGACATTATTTAGGAAGAAATGACAAACCTCTACCCCATCATACCATCCCCTAGATTTTCAGAAAGTAAAACATTGAAGCATCCAGGCTGAGGAGAAAACAGGAATGCTGATGGTCAGAGCAGAAAACTGAATGTTAGAAGTACCCTGAGGTTCTCATTCCAGCATAGCCATCAACCCCCGAAATCTCAGTGCCCACTGCAACAGGGAGCTAGCAGCTATACACTACCTAAAGTTGAACTTGTTGGGGGGTTTGGTTGGTGTTTTAGAAAGACTTGCCATGAGTTTGATGCTCCCTTGTCAAAGCATCCCAAACTCTTTGTGTTCTAGGCCATTTTTCCATCAAAATTCTGCAAAAAGACCAATTTTGCTTTAGGGAAATGTCATGAAAAGTGAAGTTTGCATCCTTCTTGCTGAGCTGAATTTCACCTAGAGAAACTTTTAAATTCCATGACTTGAAACTTTGAAGCCAAAGAACCGGCACAGATACCACAGTTTTCCTGGAGATGTTACTGGAAACCCAAGCTATAAAGAACTCAGAGTTAAATTTCTAGTGGGTGCCCCTTTGCATCCTGTGACTATCAGCCACCTGTAAATGCCTGCTGCAAATACATAGTTGCAATATGCCTAAATCCACAATAGTAGGAATTTAGGGAACTATCATGGTAGTCCTTGCCCTCATCACCAGGGTTGCCACTCTCTCCACAGCTTGCTTTGACAATCAGAGACTCTTTGTGCTGTAGTACAAAGCTAAAAACATTTGGGGGGGGGGGGCCTGAATAACCCAGCTCCTGGTTTATGATTGCACACATAAGACAAAAAAATAGTATATGCAGAAATTAAACCCCCAAACCAAGCACAATTTTAATATTGATACCTTATCATGGTAAGTAGGGGCCCTGCAAGTGCTCATTGCTAAGCTCTTGAGCTCGATTACTCCGGGCAAGGGTAGGATTGCGTGCGATAAGAGCCAAAGTGCTTGTACGTGCTGGCCTGTTGGAGGACTCCTGGAGGTTTAAGCCTGCAAGTCATTCCCTCAGAAGAATCATGTTAGAAGTACCTGGAAATCTCTGTCGAGACTGCAGCTCTCACAGGTTTATCAATTTTTCCTACAAAATTTACAATCTAAAGCTGAGGTAAGTCTGTGGTCTACAAAGTACATTATAAATCATCCCCTGGGAAGCAGGTCTGGTTGCTGCATATAGCCACTCTGAAGAACTTGCATTTTGGCACCGCAAAGCCCTCAAGACTCAGCAGGCAATGGTGGCCAAAAGGGCCACTTGGATTATTGCTGTTCCAGTCCTGCAAGCACCTTCTTCCCAAAGCAGCTGCAGCAGCAGAGCTGTGCTACCTGCCTGGAAAAAGACTTTGGGGTATTTGGGGAAGGATAACATTCTGCTTTTCAAAATAAAGTTGCTGTTTATTATTGAGCTTCCCAAAATTATTTTTCTTCTCTGTATTTGACATGGTGCACGTGGCCATTACTGAGTAGCACTGAGTCGCCCACCACCATCACTGCAATGTCCTCAGCTGCCATTTCAGAAAAAAAGATTAAATGTGTTCTCCACCCCTGCACATTCCCACAATACAGAAAGATGAATACAGAGCATCAAGTACACCATGGGGAAGGCCATTCTTCAACCAATTGGTCCTAGATCCCCAGTATCTAAATTTTTGGTGGTCTGTGCAGCTAACAATGGGTCAAACTGTCCTAGCACTCACGGCATAAAGGTAGAAGTCTTTAGAAAAGAGCTTCCATCCCATAACTGGTATGGATGCTCCATGTTTAGGTGGGGAGACCAAAGCTCTACTTAGGAGAATCACGGCAGAAAGGTCTGACTAGGAGCAACCAACTCCATTCCCTGCCACAGAGACGGACACAAAGAGGCAGGCTTCCTCCTGCACCAGGGTAATGAAGATGTGTCACTCAGCCCTGATGACAAGAAAGTGGTCTTTTTTTCCAATCCTAGTACCATAACAAAGGTGGAACATGCTGGAGTGCTGGCATAGGTCACAGACACAAAAAGTTACAATCCCGCTGGCAGCAAGGGTCAGCATCCGTTGAGTCCTGGCAACCACAGATACAGCTGAACATCGCTCTCACTCCAGTAAACACCCTCGGACCCAACCAGCAGTGCTTTTATCTGTCACATTTGGGTTCCCTTCACAGCCATGCAGGGTAACTGTTTATTGTGAATAAATCTGCCATTCTTTGTCTCTGAGCAGGACAGGGAGGGAAGGGAGTTTTGACACTTCCAGTGGCAAAATATATCCCTGGAGGGGCACATGGCTGCATATGGCAGGGGCAGAGCCTTGGTCCTACCCTGTAAACCCTCTAAGGAGATAAAGGAGGTATCAAAAGTCTTGAGAAGAGAGGTAGGAGTCCCCTCCCTGGCAACATTAAACAAACGTCTTCTGCTCCTCACTGTATACTGGAGCATTCAACACAGTGCTGAGTATCTCCAAGCACCCCTGAAATACCAGCCACAACTGCATCATTCTTCACTTTCAGCCCCTCCAGAATATAAGTGCTCTCTAAGTGGAACATCATGATCAAAGATGTGGGGAACTGTTGTGAGATTATACAACGTGCCCTGGCTAACAAAGTCTTGCAGGAAATCCTGTTGTATACACCAGGGTAGGTGACACCCGTGTTGCTTGCATCAACACGAAGGAAGGAGGACTAAGCCTCCCTTGGCCCCCCCAAAGGACATAACTGCCCCAGGAACTGGGTTGGATGAGAAGCATACCCAAAGAAAAGCCAGCACTAGGAGCAACTGAGGAGATGGGACACCAACTCACACTTAGAGTCTCTGCCCTCTATGGCCTGACCAGACACAGGACGATAGGTAGTGGCACCCTCTCTGGCAGACTTTGGGTTTTTTCCTCCCTTGGTACAATACAGCAGCGAGTGGGAAATGTGCCACGCACCCTGGGCTAGCTCACACCTCCTCTCTTGCTCCAGGCCAGAGTGGAAAGCATGGTTTGGCTCTGCACATTTTCTCATACCACCTCCTAACATAAAGAGAGCACAGTGTGGGTTCTCCCCACCCCAGCAGACGATTTCTAAATGGTGCTATGGCTATGCAGTTTCCACAGCTCATCTGAAATCAGCCTAATCTTATATACAGAGGATACAGCCCAGATGGCAGCACTCACAGCTGTGCACATCTGACATGAAGGTGAGTAAGCTTAGATTTGTGAGCGAGCCCCCCAGCTGGCAGATCTGTCTGGGGGATTGCTTCGAAGTGCGTGAGGGAGAAGCCCACACA